CCACAGAATAGAGATAATTATATAGTGTGTCAGGAGATATGTTCACAGGCTTTTACAGAGCTAGGGGGACTTACAAATGAGTAGGCACCTTCCCTCCACCACGCATCCTTCACTTTACAGACGGGGATGTGTCTCCAGACTCAGACTGAGCCAAAGGCCTCCTTCAGAGCCCTGCATGTGTGTTCCTGAGTCCCCTGTGGTTTCTTACTGATCTTTGCACCTTCTGGTTTGGACGCATGCCTGAAAGTTGTCATTGAGTTCACATTAAATCACTTTATTTGGGGGAATTGACCTTTCTTAGGGGCAGGGGGTGGAAAAGTTCAGACAGGATATCGATCTCTCTCTGTAGCCCTGACTGTCCTGGAACTCACTATGTAGACCAAGCTAACCTCAAACACAGAAATCCACCTGATTCTGCATTCGGAGTGCTGGGACTAAAGATGGAGACCACCATGCCTGGCTGGAGGGGGTGTTTTATGTAGCCCAGGCTGGTCTCAAACTTGTGACCAAAGATGACCTTGAACTTTTGATCCTCCTGTCTCTGGGATTATAGGTCACACCTCCACACTCCATTTTCTGCAGTGTTGGGGCTGGAACACAGAACTTTGTGCAGACTGAGCAAGCACTCAACCAGCTGAGCTACAGCCCAAGCCCCATTGTAAATCACCGTGCTTACGCTATCTTCCTTCAAAAGCGAAAAATCACCGAGGGAAAGTGACAAGACTTAGGAACTCTACCAGCGCCAAAGAGTTAAGAGGGGGCCGGTGATGTCAGGGTGAACCCACTGCTGCCTGGACAGGAAAAGAACTCGGGGCTGTTTTTCTTCTCTGAAAACCAATCCCTGCGGAGTCTCTTGGGCTCTTTAAACTGAATGCCTTTCAGGCTTGAAATGAATGACTACATGACTTCAGCCTTCACGCACGCAGGCCCTGCTGTTATACCTGGAGCCTGGCTGCTCTCGGGGCATCCCGTAAATAACCCGGGGTCTGTACAACACATGTCGGAGACGAGCTGCCATCAGAAACGGTTTCAACTGGAAAGCCAGAGACTGTCTGTGTGAACACTCCAGTCATCTGGGAACCATTTCCCCACTCCCATTAAGCCCAGACGCTGGCTCCGTTTGCACTGCTGCAGACCATCATACGGAATTCATTTTTATTGCTTGGATGTTGGTCTCTCAGCCACATCAATTACAGCCCTTTCTGTTACCATTGGATGAGTGTGACATGAAACGATGACAGCTTTGTTCCGTGAAGCAGTTCATGGACTGTATGGAGGTGGAAGACTGTGTTCGTTATGAGACTAAAGGAAGAAAAATCCTAACTCCGGGCTTAGGCTAGAAACACAAATCAGCTCCCTCCCAACACAAATACCCAAACAAAACCAGTAAACTGTCCAACTGAATGGAGATTTTCGGCTGCATTCAAACATAACTTTGTATGCTTTGGGCACGTGAGGCCTTGAATTCAAATGTAAGGAGTGATTTCCATGGTTACAGAAGTGAATATAGTAGCATTGTTGTTATTAGCGATGGCACATGAAATATTGAATAGTTATTACTTAATCTCATAGAGACTTAGTAAAAGTTTTTTCATGAAATATATTTTGATAATGTTTTTTCCTTTCCACAATTTCTCCCAGATCCTCCCTACTCACCCAAGTTATGTTCTCTCTCTGTCTCTGTCTCTCTCACTCTCTCAAAAACAAACAAAAAACAAGAAACATGAAAGAACTCCATAAAAATGAAAATCAAAACAAACAAGCAAAAGACCAATTAAGGGGAAAAAATGCTAGCTGGGTGGCGGTGGTGCACACCTTTAGTCTGGGTACTCAGGAGACGATGCAGGCAGGTCTCTGTGAGTTTGAAGCCAGCCTATTTTGCAAAGCTAGCTCCAGGATAACCAGAACTACGCAGAGAAATCCTATCTCAGAAAAGCAAGAGAGAAAGAGACAGAACATATAATATTTGTCCTTTGGAATCTACATTACCTCACTTAGGATAATTTTTCTAGTTCCACCCATTTACCTGCAAATTTCATAATTTCAAATTTTTTTTTGTTTTGTTTTGTCTTTCGAGAGTGGGTTTCTCTGTAGCTATGGTGCCCGTCCCAGAACTAGCTCTTGTAGACCAGGCTGGCCTCGAACTCCCAGAGATCCGCCTGCCTCTGCCTCCCGAGTGCTGGGATTAAAGGCATGCGCCACCACCGCCCTGCTTCAAATTTTCTTAACAGTTGAATAATACTCCATTGTGTAAATGTGACACATTTTCATTATCCACTCATCAACTGATGGACATGTAGCCTGTTTCCAATTTCTTACTGTTATGACTAGAGCAGCAATGAACAAGTATCTCTCAGATGAGCAAGTATATCTGCAGCAGGATGTGAGTCTTTGGGTGTATGCCCAAGGTTAGAACAGCTGGATCTAGAAGTATATCTATTCCCAGCTTCCTGAGAAACCACCATGCTGATTCCCATTGTGGCCATACAAGTTTGCACTCCTACTAGCAATGAGTAAGCGTTCCCCTTTCCTTGTGTCTTCATCAGCATGTGTTGTAATTTTTTTTTTTTATTTTTAATCTCAGTCCTTCTGATTGGTGTAAGTTGAAATCACAGGGTAGTTTTGACTTGCGTTGCCTGATGACTAAGGATGTCGAACATTTCTTTCAATGTTTCTCGGCCATTTGTGTTTCATCTTTTGAGAACTCTCTGAGCTCTATACCCCAATTTTAATTGGAATATTTGCTTATTTTTATATTCAGCTTTTTGTTGGTGGTGGCAGTGGGATTTTTTTGTTTGTTTTTGCTTTTAGTTCTTTTCAGATTTTATATTCTGATTCTCCATCAGATGCATTATTGACAAAGATCTTCCTCTGGTGCCCTTTACCTCGGGTATCCTTTGCCGTACAGAAGCTTTTAGCTTCATGGTGCGCCATCCTAAATTGATGCTTTCCAGCCTGTGCTGTAAGCACCCTCTTTAGAAAGCCTCTTCCTGTGCCAGTGAGCGCCAGACTATTCTCCGCCTTCTCTTCTACCAGATTCAGGGTATCCGGTCTTAGGTTGCCATCCTTGGTCTAACTGGAGTTGAGTTTTGTGAGTGTCATGAAGTATGGATCTATTTTTATTCTTCTTCATACAGCCATCCAGTTTGACCAGCACCATTTGTTTAAGATGCTGTCTTTTCTACAGGTTGTATTTTTTGGCTTTTTTGTCAAAACTCAGGTGGCCATAGTTGTGTGGACTTATGTCTGGGTCTTCAACTCAATGCCCTTGATCAATGGGTCTGCTTTGATGATAGCATCTTTCTGTTTTTATTACTATAGCTCTTTAATAAAACTTGAAGTCAGGAATGGTGATATCTCCAGCAGTTCTTTTATTATGCAGGATTGCTTTAGCTAGTTCAGATTTTTGGATTTCCATATGAAGTTGAAGATTATTTCTTCAATTTCTGTGAAGAACTGTGTGAAATTTTGATGAGGATTGCATTGAATATTGCCTTTGGTCGGATAGCCATTTTCACAATATTAATCCTACCAATTCATGAATCTGAGAGATTCGTTTTCTGGTGTCAATTTATTTCTTTGTTGTCTTAAACTTTTTATTATACAAATCTTTCGCTTATTCAGCTAGTTATTCCAAGATATTTTTGAGGCTCCTGTGAAAGGTACTATTTCCCTAATTTCTTTCTCAGTCTGTGATTTGTGTGTAGGAAGACTGCTAATTTTTTTAAAGATTTATTTATTTATTATATATACAACATTCCTTCCATGTATGCTTGAATGCCAGAAGAGGGCACCAGATCTCATTACAGATGGCTGTGAGCCACCATGTGGTTGCTGGGAATTGAACTCAGGGCCTCTGGAAGAGCAGTCAGTGCTCTTAACCTCTGAGCCATCTCTCCAGCACATGGCTGCTAATTTTTAATGTGCTAAATTTGTATCTTATTACCTTGATGAAAGTGTTTATTGGCTACAGGTGTTCCCTTGGTGGAGTTTGTAGAATCTTTTTTGTGTAAGAATCATATCATCTATAAATAAAGATACTTTGACTTCTTCCTTTCCTATTTGTCTACCCTTTGTCCACTTTAGTTTTGTTGTTGTTTATTGCCCTAGCTAAGACTTCAATTACTGTATTGAATAAATATGGAGAGAGGGGGCATCCTTATCTCATTGCTGATCTTAGTGGAAAGGCCTTGAGTCTCTTTCCTTTTAAATTGATGTTAACTGTGAGCTTGCCTTAAATTTCCTTTATTTTGTTGAGGAATGTCCCTTGTGTCCCTGGTCTCTCTAGGACTTTCAAATGTTGGATTTTTGTCAAAGGCATTTTCTGTATCTAGTGTGATGACCATGTGGTTTTTGTCTTTCAGTCTGTTTGATCATGGTAGATAATGTTTTTGATGTGTACTCTTGGATTTTGTTTCCAAATATTTCGTTAAGAATTTTTGCATCTATGTTCATAAGGGATATTGGTCTATAATTTTATATTTTTCAGATGGGTTTTTGTATGATTTGGTGTCAGAATAATAGTGGCTTCATAGAAAGAACAGGATATGTTTCTTCTGCCTCTATTTTGCAAAATAATTTGAAGGGTATTAGATTTAATTCTTATTTGAAGGTCAAACAGAATTCAAACAGAATTCTGCACTGAATTCTTCTGTCCCTGGGCTCTTCCATCCACCCCCAGTTTGGAGACAAAAAAAATGGCTTCTTCTTTTTTAATGGGGGTTACAGGCCTGCCTATTAGATATCATAACTTTGGAGATTGTATATATCAAGAATGCCTCCATTTTTTAGGTTTTACAGTTTGGTGGATAGAAAATTTAGAGTATGTCCTTATGATTCTCTAAATGCCCTCAATGTCTGTTGTAATGTTTCCTTTTTATCTTTAACTTTTATTAATTTTCATTTTTCTCTCCACCTTTTAACTGATTTGACTTTGATTTTCTCAAAGAACAAAGTCTTCATTTCATTGATTTTTTGTATTTGTTTCTATTCCATTGATTTCAGCCCTGAGCTTGATTGTTTCTGGCCACTTATTCTTCCCAGGTTTTTCTTTTTTATGTTGTCGGCACTTCATTCTATGAACTTGCCTCTTAGAACCGCCTTCATTGTGTACCATAGGTTTGGTATGTTATATATTTATTTTCATTCAATTCTAAAATGTTTTTAATGTCCTTTTGGATTTTGTCTTGACACATTTTTTTCACTTATTAGTGAGTTGCTTGGTTTCTGAGTTTGTATACTTTATTCTGCTTCTGTTGTTGCTGATAACCAGTTTTAATCCACGGGGTTTGGGGTGTTTGTTTTCAATTTTCTTACATGTGTTGAGACTTACTTTGTGTGTATAATTTTGGTCAATTTTGTAGAAAGTTCCATGAGTTACTGAAAAGAAAGTATATTTTTTAACGTTTGGGTAGCATGATCTGTAGATGTCTGCTAGGTTCATTTGATATATGATATTCTTTAGACTCAGTATTTCTCTGTTTAGTTTTTGTGGAGATGACCTATCTATTGGTGAGAGTGGGGTAGTGAAGTCACTCACTATCAGTGTGTGAAGGTCAGTCAGTGAGTTTAGCTTTAGTGGTGATTGGCGTATAAATGTTTAGAATTGCAATAGTCTCTTAGTGGATTTTTTTTCTTTAATAAATATACAGTGTCTTTCACTATCTCTTTTGATTAGTTTCACTTTGAAATCTATTTTGTTAGCTGTTGAAATGGATATACCTGCTTGCTTCTTGGGTCCATTTACTTGGAATTCCACTTTCCATCTATACACCCTGAGTTTATATCTGCCTTGCTTGCAGATGAAAGATGGATCCTGTTTTCTAATCCAATCTGTTACTGTGTCTTTTATTGGGGAATTGACATCATTAACACTGAAGTTGCCAATGAGTCATATTTATTGATTCTCGTTATTTTATTGTTATAGTGTGTGGGCTTTTTGCCAAAAACTATTTTCTGTTACCTTTGACCTGGGTTTCCTCTCCTTCCTTTATCTCTATTTTTCATATGCTTGATCTTCTCATGGTGTCCCAGATTTCACTGATGTGTTGTGCCTTTTTATTTATTTATTTGATTTAACATTCTCTTCTACTGAGCTATCCATTTCTTCTTCCTTGTCTTCAGGACCTGAAATTCTCTCTTCCGTGCCTTGGAATCCATTGGTGAGGCTTGTCTTTGAGATTTTTGTTTGACATCCTAAGTTCTTCATTTTCAGTTTTATTTTAGTTTGGGTTTTCTTTAGTTACTCTATTTCTACGTTCATGTTTTGAAATTATTTCATTTTAATTTGTTTCACTTAATGTCGGTGTTTTCGATCCTCATTAAGACACTTATTCATATCCTCTTTAAGGTCCTTGAACATATTCATAAACTGTTGTTTTAAAGATGTGCTTCAGCTAGCTTTCATTTCTGCAGGCCCTATTGTGGTAAGGTTATTGGCTTCTGGAGAAGGCATATTGTCGTAGCTAGTCACACAGACGTGTATACAACACATTGGACCATTCAAGCAGGATTTTATCCTGGTTTTCCCTGATTTTTTTTTCCCATGCTCTTGGTTGTAGAATCCAGATTGAATATCAGTTTCTTCTCCTGTCAGGTCAGGTGTTATCTGAATTCCCATCAGTCTCTAACTCCAGGGAACTCTTGGCACCTTTATGAAGTGTAGAATCAGAATTATTTGACCATAAAGTTATGGGGCTGGTAATGTGATTCGGTCAGTAGAGTTTGGCAGGCTTAGGTTCAATCCCCAGCACCACATAAACTGGGTGTGGTAGTGTGCACTTGTAAATCAAGCACTCAGGGGATGGAAACAGGAAAATCAGAAGTTGAGGGTCATTCTCAACTACATAGTGACTTGGAAGCCAGGGTGGGCCGCATGAGACTCTCTATCCCTCTATCCAAAGAAGAACGGGAGGAAGAGCAGGAGGAGTGGAAGCCATGACGAGGAACCAGTAAAAATCATCAAATCAGAGTAGTAGAGGATGCTGTGTAAGCAAAGGACTCGAGTTACAAAGGCCTGGGTCTCCCTGAAATGTAAGGTCAACGATAACCATAGATGGGATCACAAGTGTCTTTGGGAGAAGGACTGAATTTGGGTTCCAAACCATATTGTGAAGGCATCTTGGGAGCTCTTTAATGGTGCTGAACCAGTGCTACAGGCCTTCAACTGCAGTATCAGTCTCCATGACAGAACCCTCTAGGAGAAGAGATTTAAGTGGTGATACTGTAGAGCAGGGGATGCTTACAGCATATCAAACACCAATTTTGGTCCTGCAGGAAGCTCCTGAACCTCATAGAATGGCTTGACACTGTGGAAGGACGCCTGAGCCCCCTTGAGGCAGCTCATAGGCTGTGACAGTTCCAAGGTTCATGGAGAAAAGGGGAATTTGCAACTGGGACTTGGCAAAGTGCTTTCTTGCTATTCTGTTTTCTGCAGATGATTGATGGGCACACTTGCCAGGAAGTGTAGCCAGATAAGTCATTTCCTCCTTTGAAAGTTCTTGACTCACCTCTAATTCACCTATGAGTTGCTCCTGAGCAGACAAGCCAGACTTTGGTTTTTCTGAGTTGTAATATACCATGACTTCTTGACTCACAGAGAGTATGTGGCTTAGACAGGAAGCCCAGACTGGAGCTGAGTCCTAATCCTGTTCTCTGCAACAAATCCCATCCAGCTCCAATGTCTGCTCCAGAGGAACCAGAGGATTATGCTACCCAGACTCACAAGAGCTCAGTGTCTAGCTGTAGGGTCCAGTGGAAGCTGATCACACTTCTGATCTGCACACAAGAAAACATCAGCATAGTGCACAGTGCAGCAGCAGCTTTGTCCAGACTGCACAGCCAGCCTTGGCTATTACACCTTAAGAAAGTATACAGAGAATGGGACACAGTGAGCTTTCCACAAAAAAAAAAAAAGCCCTCTTAATTATTCAGATACCATATGTCTTCTAGACTTACCCTTCAGAGGTCTTACAGTCTTCAAAGGAAAGAGAAAATTTTTCCACACTGTGACCTTCTGCTTATGGAATGTATGTTTATAGAGGGCCATGGACATATACATTCAAATACACAGAGAGAGAAAGAGAGAGAGAGAGAAAGAGAGAGACGCACATCCATATATAAACATATTTCCATTTCTGACTTCATATATTGTGTCTGGTATCTGTCATGATCTGTGTATTCTACAAAAAATGGCCTTAAAATGGTTGAGATCTTCCCCCAGAAAGAACCAAGTTCCAGAGAAGCAAGGACATTCTAGCTAACACCATTGAAAACTCTTCGGGCTAAGGGTGAGTCACAGGAGAAGGGCTTGGCAGAGCTGAGGGGGAAAAGCCTACCTGCCCATCCAGAGGAAGGAGAGTCTGAGCAGAGACTGGGTAAGTTAAATAAAGCCACGTCAGAAGCTTAGACTCAGGGGCTTCCACAAAGCCATGCAATGTTCATACAAGTGCAACACACACACACACACACACACACACACACGCGCATTCAAAAATAGAAAAGAAGTGTGGTTTCTCAGTCTGAATGCCTGTGCCCACGTTCCTAGCACTCAGGAAAAAGAACTGGACCCTGAATGAGGCAGATGGACAGAGGACAGAAACCGTCACCTCCAGCCTGCCGTAGATGCTCAGACAACCACGGGCACCCCATTTCCACTTTGTGGATGACGGAACACACAAGGGCACGCGAATCTATAAGAGTCAGTCAAAAGCTCTTTCCCTCTGTGAGACCTTAGATTACACCACATTCTTTGGATAGAGGAAAGGAAAGTCTGAGAAAGGATATCAGGATCAAGTTTCCCAGCAGTCTGGCAGAATGTGGGCTTGAAATTGGATGTTTAATTACATTAGAAAAACTAAGTTCTCTTTCTTTCTTTTGCTACTAGGAAGAAAGTTTACATATGCTATTTGTCTTTAAATTACCAACTTAACACCTAGTAGTAGCTTTCTTTTTTAAAAAAAAAAATAATTCTTATTAAATATTTGCACCCCAATCCCTTTCATTTTCCAAGTCCTTCCATATCTGCCCTCCACCCTTATAACTTCGCCCACAAAAGAAAATAAAGCATAAAGTTTTATAAGAAAAAAATTCTCACCAACCCCTTTGGGCAATGACCTGTTTCCTCTGTCAACTGCAATCGCCTGTACATGTCTCATTCTGCTCCTCTGTCTTACCTGCCTCTCCATCACATACTCGTTCACCTTACTAACACTGACATCAGATGTTGCGGTGTGTAACCCAAACAGTTTTACTTGCAGATGTTCATTGCAAGGAATCATTAGTCTAGTTAAAAACCTCTGATTTCTGCTGTACCATCGGTACTGCACCCTCATTGAGATTCTCCAATATTCTGCTGATGCCTTCAAGATCCTACAGCTATGGATTCTCATGAACAGCCCCATCTTGGGCTCCAGCAGCACATAGATGGGGTAGATGTTAGGGTGGACCAACTCAAAGCTCTTGGGTCTGGGCTTGGGTGGTAGCTGAGTTGGTCAGCCCACAAGCTCTTTCGTGTCAGTGGGGCCAGCTCTCCTGAGTGCCATCCAGGACAGCTCTCCCAAGTCAACTCTTCCCATGCTCACACCATTGGGGTCAGCTCTGCTGTGCCCTTGCCACCAGGGCCAGGTTACCTTTGCTGCCCAGGCAAATGGGTGGAGTCAGCTCTCCTGTGTAGTAGTAGTTGTTGTTGTTGTTGTTATTGTTGTTGTTGTAAAATAGTAGTTTTCTAATGAGTATTAATTAAATGGTAGTCTGATCCAGAGTGAAAAGGGCTGTCAGTGGGAAATGTACAGATATTCAAGAAGAGTGCAGGGACCCCTGAGACACGCAGATCTCTTTGTAATAATCCTGTAACATTTAAATGCATTTTTGCTCTCATCTTCTCACAGTGGAGTTTCCAGAAACTCTGTGACCTGAGATTTTGTAACTGATTGAATGAGAAAGAAGATATGAAATCTCTGCTGCCCTCCATTAACCCAGATGTTAAAAAGATTTGCAAAATATGAAATAATTCCACTCTTTTCGCTGATTATGTTTGTGTTACTGGAAAGAAGTCTTCACACCACTGGAATATAAAGGTAACCACCAACCTAACTACACATCCTGCAATCTATAGTGGCAGCCAGCCTGCTTGATTTGCTGAGGTGATAGTGGCACAAACATTGTTGGAGTAACCAACCACTATCTGATTGGATTTAACATCCACTCCATGAGATGGAACCCATGCCTGACGCTGCTCAGGTGGCTGAGAAACTGCGACTACATAGGCCCTGGACCAAGGGGAAAACCAGATAATACTATGCTGCAAAAGCAGTAGTTCTCAACCTTTGGGTCATGATCCCTTTGGGGGTCACATATCAGCTAGCCTGCATATCCAATATCTACATTACTATTCATAACAGTAGCAAAATAGCAGTAATAAAGTAGCAATGAAATAGTGTTATGGTTGAGGGTCATCACAACATAAGGAACTGTATTAAAGGGTTCCAGCATCAGGAAGGTTGAGAACCGCTGTGCTAAAGAAGCATAGCAATAAATATGACTCCTAATGGCCAAGCAGTGGTGGTCCATGCTTTTAATCCCAGCACTCAGGAGGCAGAGGCAGGAAGATCTTTGTGAGTTCAATGCCAGCCTTGCTACAGAGTGAGTTTCTGTGTAGCCAGGGCTACACAAAGAAACCCTGTCTCAATAACACAGAGACAGAGTGACAGAGACAGAGAGACAGAGAGAAGAAGAAGAAGAAGAAGAAGAAGAAGAAGAAGAAGAAGAAGAAGAAGAAGAAGAAGAAGAAGAAGAAGAAGAAGAAGAAGAAAGAATGATTCCTAACAACACTCTACTATATCCATAGCCTCACTGAACCATCATTAGAGAAGTTTCTCCTACGGTAGATTGGAACAAATGCAGAGACCCACAACTGGACAAAATGTAGACAGTGAAATACTTTGGAACACTCAGTCCAAAACAGATGCCTTCATCAAATCCAGCCCTCAGGACCTAGGGAGCTGCTATACAGAATAGAAAGAAGAAAGATTATAAGAGCCAGAGGGGATGGATGACACTGAGCAAACAATGTCTTCCAGACACACCGGGACTGAAGCACATATAACTCATAGAGACTGTGGCAACATGCATAGCGTCTGCACTGGTCCAGGTGGGTGAGGGCACAGCACTGAGAGAGGCAAGTGGACATGAGCTTTCCATCCCTAACCAAGCTACCTACAATTGACAAGTTCTTGCAAAGGAAAAAATAGTTTTCTCCAAAAGAGTCTCACTGGGCATAAAAACCACACTTTAGGGCAGTTCCCATTACCAGCAGATGACCAACACAAAACAAACTCAATGGTATTTTTGGAGATTTTATATCTTATATTGCTTTGTTTTGGCATTTTTTACCTTACTGGTCTTTTGCTTGTATATTATGGTTTCTGATTTTGTGTTTTTATGGGTTGTGTGTGTGTGTTTGTTTGTGTGTGTGTGTGAATATATGTTTCTCATGCTTTTTCTGTTTGTTTTCTAAAAAGAGAGAGAAAGAAGGCATGGAATTGGATGGGTGCAGAGGTTGGGAAAGTCAGGGAGAAAACAAAGGACAGGAAACCATAATCAGAAAAAATTACATTTTATGAAAAAAATATTTATTTTCAATTAAAAAATAAACAAAATAGAGTAATGCTGCTTTTCCACTATTTTGTATTTAAATTACACAATATCATAAGATATTCTACTATAATACTTTCCCTGTATTAATAAATGCATGCTATGGCTCTCAGTCACATTTATTAACTCACTTATTTTAAAATGAGTCTTGCTATGTCACTTAGGATAGCTTCAAAGTTATATATGCCTGCCTAAGTTCTCAGCTGTGTGTGTGTGCGTGTGTGTGTGTGTGTGTGTGTGTGTTCACCAGTGCACAAACTCTTGTGTAAGTAAATTTGGAGGCCATGGGTAAGCATCTTTATACTGAAGTCACTCTCAATTTTATCCAGGGCTGCTCAGCGAGCCCTGAGGACCCTCCTACTCTTGTGTTGCTGCCCCTGGGATTGCAGGCATGTACCACCATGCCCAGTTTTTAATGTGAGTGCCAAGGACATAACCCAGGTCCCCGTTTTACAAGGCAAGGGCTTTATTCACTTAAATATTTTCACAAGCTCTCAGATTTAGTTTTTAATGGCATGTATTGACAGGCACAACGCATAGAGACAAGACCTAGTTCTAGCTTACTTTCCGTTGCTATGCTAAAATACTCGAGCCAAAAGCAATTCAGGAAAAGAAAACGTTTAGCTTAAATTTCCAGATCACATCCTATCATCGAGGCTGTGGAACGTCCTGACAGCAGAAACCATGCAGGAACATTGCTTGCTGGCTCATTTGTCAGGTCATTCGTGTTCACTGTCACCTAGTTCCCACCACCTGCCTAGGGACAGGTGCCACCCACAGTGGGCTGGGCAACAATTAAGGCAATCGAGACCATCCTTCACAGACATGCCCACAGACCAACTTGATTTAGCAGCTATTCAACCGAAGCTTTTTTTAGGAGATTCTACATTGTGTGAAGTTGAGAGTTGATGCTAACTAGGACAACTCTTTGGGGATCCTCAACAGTTTTCCAGGGTCTGGGGACTTGGCTCAGGAGGTGAAGTTCTTGCAGCTCAAGCATAAGGACCTGAGATGGATCCAAGCATCAACGTCAAAAACCGAACATGGCAACATGTACTTATTCTCCGAGTCCTGGGGCTTCGGAAATAGACGGCTCCCTCAAGCTCACTGACCAGCTACTCTTAGCAAACCCGTGAGCGCCAGGTTCTGGGAGAGACCCCCGTCTCAAGAATGAAGGTGGAAAGAAGAGTGTAGTGACAACACTAGTTGCCATGTCAACGTGGACAGGAGAAATTCCACATGGTCCCAGCCCTAGATGAAGAGCTGCAAGTGGTCAGTGCTCCTGAGAGAGAGAGAATTAACTTCCCCCAGTGAAAAACTACTACATACGATGTCTGGTCTTCAACCCCGAGTGGTCACCCCTGGACACAAATATACACAAGCAATGCTAAATGGACTCAGTAGGCTGTACACACGTGTAACATTAATATTAAAGAAGAGACTGCATTTTACAGGGGGACACTGGGAGCAGTTAGAGCAGGTGAACAGAGTGCTCATGTGCCAAGGCTCAAAAAATAAAATTAAAAAAAAAAAAAAAACAAACAATAGCCATCTCCGTCCGCCATAGAAGAGGAGGCGCCGCCATGTCTGCGCATCTGCAATGGATGGTCGTCCGGAACTGCTCCAGTTTCCTGATCAAGAGGAATAAGCAAACGTACAGCACCGAACCCAATAATCTGAAAGCCCGCAACTCCTTCCGCTACAACGGGCTGATTCACCGCAAGACAGTGGGAGTGGAGCCCGCGGCCGACGGCAAAGGGGTCGTGGTGGTCATGAAACGCAGATCCGGTCAGTGCAAACCAGCTACTTCTTACGTAAGGACCACCATCAACAAGAATGCATGGGCCACCCTGAGCAGCATCAGGCACATGATCCGAAAGAACAAGTACCGCCCCGATCTGCGCATGGCGGCCATCCGCAGGGCCAGTGACATCCTACGAAGCCAGAAGCCTGTGGTGGTGAAGACGAAACGGGCCCGTCCCACCAAGAGCTCCTGAGCCCTACACCCCAGAAGCAATAAAGTCTACTGACTTTTATCAACCATCAAAAAAAAAAAAACCAATAAAGTGGAAAATAATAGAAGATACACAACAGCTATTTAGCCGCTACACACACATACACACAGGAACACAAATACACACATATGCCACATGCAAACACATACACACTTACAAATAATTTTCTAGAGTGCAAAGGATTTCTGAGGGCAACTTCTTCGAGAACCACTAAGTAAAAGAAACAGCAAACTGTAGAAAGGCTAGAAAGGCAAATCTACAATTGGCTGTTTGACCTTGACTAAACCATTCAGCCTCTCCGGCATCTTTGCCCAATGAAGATGCTGAACCAGATATGTTCCAAATTCCCTTTTTGCTTTTTTCTTTGCTTTCTCAAGATAGGGTTTCTCTGTATACCCCGGGCTTTCCTAGGACTCACTCTGTAGACAAGGCTGGCCTCAAACTCAGAGATCTGCATGCCTGTCTCCTGAGTGCTAGGATTAAAGGTGTGCACCACCACCACCTGGTTCCCTTTATCTCTTATGCCTCATTCTTGGTTCTTTCTCAGGCAGAGTCAGTGAAGTCGAAGGCCTTTCCTGAAACCTGGCTTCCTGAGTACACCAAGGGAATGCTAATGTGGAGGGTTTGCAGGCTAAAAATAACTGCCCTAAGACGGGGGATCAGAGGGTTTCTCTGGGGCTAGAAGAGGAATGATGTCAGTGCCTGGAACACTCGGCATTCCTGGGCAGCTCAGGTCTATGGGTGACTGCTCAGGAATTCATGATCCATTTGTGCCTCCAGAAATGTCAACACTATCTCTGCCTGAGCTCAAAGTATCTGCGCATGAGTGTGTGAGTGTGCGTGTGTGCATGCACGCACGTGCACGATCGTGAGTGCATTCATATGCACCCACACTCCATCAAACTGGAGAAGTAATCCAATTTAGGCTCTAACATCCTTTCCAGGAAGACTCACAGAAAAACAACACTCAAGTCTTGTTTTTCAGTACCCACCCCTAAGCCCTGCAACCTCGACAGGCTAACACTAACGGGAAGGGGGGCGGGGGGTTGTAGATTCTAGCAGTGCCAGTATCTCTGCCTGCTTAGGTCCCCTCTGTAGCCTCCTCCGCTATTGCCGGAGCCCATGATTCTTCATGGGGTTACTGGAAACCAACTCTGAAATACCGTTATAAATATCCAACGATAAATAAACATGAGCTATTTCTGAAATGTACCCCGGAATAGCCAACTGCCCAAACAGCCAAGATTGTGCTTCAGATCCTGGGAAAAATAGAAATGTGGGTATGGTTTATATTTCCATTGCCCAGAGCAGAATCACTGGTCAGGTATTTCTAATTTTAGTTTTCTGTTTCCATTCTTTTCCTCTTATGTTGGAGAAAGAAGGAAGAAAAAGAAACGAGACACAGAGAGAATGAGAATAAAGGACTGTTAAACAAGAAAAGGAAGATTCTATTTCTCAACTCTGGCATTTAGGATAGCACCCAAAAAAAAAAAAAAAAAAAAAAGTCTAGACCTTGATATTCCCTTGACCCTCTAGGTATGAATGATAAAGATCCAAGATGATAGAATGTTCTACGTTTACAAGTCCCAAAAGAAGCAATGAATGGAAATACAGGTGACTTAGACAAAGCAGAAAAGCCACAACGAAGCCAGAGATAACTTGAAGCATCAGAAAAAGAGTTTGGAATGAGGAAGAAGGGTCTGGACTTAAGACCTGCCTCACAAGAATCCCTAGGCCATCAGTCATGGTTCTGTTTGTTATTACATTATTATGGAGTCAAACAGACCCAATAAGGTCTCTCAATGCCCTGGCCGATGTTCTCATTTACAGTAATGCCCTGTTCTCCCCCATGCACTCCCTGCAGTCTTAAGACCCAGCAAATTCAGCAGATCACTGAGTCATTGCCAGGAAAATGGTTTCTAGGCTGCGTGAGTGAGGGGATACTGGCAGGACTGTCCCTCTTCTAGGGAAGCAGAATCATGACCTAGGTATCTCATAGGCAAACAGGACAGACATAGCTGAAATTTATCCTGGCCAGGTCCTGCAGGGCCCAAGATGCTGGCCTTGGAACACTTAAAGAAGTCTTAGGATCACACGAACCCTTCATTTGTTCCTAATCTGCTCTCTCCAAACCCCATCTTCATCCAAGCTGGAGCAGCTGCCTATCTCCCTCATGAAGTTGGCTTCAGGCAATTGCAGATTTGACCTCAGCTTTCCTGGTCTCAGCACTCCCCCAAAGGGCCCCATTGGGCCTGTTTCTTCACTCACTGTGCTAATCTAACTCTAGGTGCTTATACACTTAGCACTACCCTTCATCTCTGGAAGAATGTGGTCTATGCATTAGTATTCTGCTTTTTTTTTTTTTTTGTTTGTTTTGTTTTGTTTTTCAAGGCAGGGTTTCTCTGTGGCTTTGGAGTATGTCCTGGAACTCACTCTTGTAGACCAGGCTGGCCTGAACTCAAAGAGATCCATTTGCCTCTTCCTCCCGAGTGCTGGGCGTGGACCACCACCAGCTGGCCTAGTATTCTGCTTTTAAAGCTCCAAACACATTGTTTATTGCTTTATCATCAGCACAGTCGCAACCCTGTGGGTTTCCCCACCTGATGAGGTGTCTACTGGAAGTCAGGAAGTCCATTCACCTTCCAGAGAGCACTAAGCATGGTGTCATAAAATCTTCAGCATTGTGAGAAAGAATAGACTCAATGAAGAAAAACCATTTCATAGTTCACCAAGGGTCTTTCTTTTTTTTTTTTCCCAAGGGTCTTTCTTCAGAGCTCCTCTCATGACTGACAGAACCCTTGACCATACTACCCCAGGAAGCTAACTCTCCAGAACTGCAAGCAACTAGAGCTTCAAGAAAGTTTGGCTTATTTGGTCTAACAGACTGAAATTTTTAGAGAATTATAGATTATGCCAAATTTGAATGATAAAGAGAAATCACTGACACTCGGTAGGAACCACAGTAGCTGGGCACGGTGATGTTCACCTGTAATCCCATCCTTCCAGAGGCTGAAGCCAGAGCTTCAAGAGTTTGGACTATACAGAGAGATTTTTCTCAGAAAAGATAAAGGGACTGGAGAGATGGCTCAGTCGGTAAAATGCTTGCCAGACAAGCATGAGGATCTGAGTTTCATTCTTGGTACCCACACAAAACATCTGGTATAGCAATGTGAACATGTAATCCCAGTACTGAGGAGGTGGAGACAAGAACATCTTGGGGCTTACTGGATAATCAGTCTAACCATATCAGCAAGCTCCAGGTCAGTAAGAGATCCTGTGTCCAAAACTAAGGTGGAAAAACCTAAAGAAGATATGGCTTTCACATGTGTGCACACACATAGTCACATACCAACAGCCATACTCACATGTACATATACCACACACAGTCTCTCTCTCTCTCTCTCTCTCTCTCTCTATATATA